GGATCACATGTCACTTTTAGTACAAAGTACATTGAATGAAAGTACCATAAAAAGTGTGACTTCTGTCATAATTTACCGTTACATAGTGTTATGTTCAAAATTTCTCATACAAAAGGCAAAGGAAAAAGCCCCCCTCCTTGTTTCAGAGAAGAAGAAGCACGCAGAGGATAAGAGGCAGCCCCCCCCGCCCCCACTCTCTTTCTTCCATCAGCAAGCAGGGCCGAATCAGCTGGTTGAAGTTTAAATCAAAAGGAATTTAATATACTAACAAAAGCAAATGCAGTTACAAACTGAATTACACTATCAATAGTAATAGTAGTGAAATAGCTATGTAAACAAAGTAAAATATGTCAACACATCGTGAACGTCACTTCACAATAACTCAACAACACTTTGAGAACACTGGTCTTGGACACCGGCCTCCCGGTTGAATGTCCTGTGCCTCCTCTCCCATCTGACATAGTCTTTCTTACTGTGTATATTAAGTCACTAGCTCTGAGCCTGGTACATTCACGTGGATGCATTTCATTTGTGTGTCCACCACGAAAAAAGAATCCTAATCGACTTTCATTGCTTTCATCATTTGCCACCACCACGTAACGTGCTGTTAAGAGATCGTGGTCATTTCACGTACTTCTTTGTGATCAGGCTGGTCATCACAGTCAAAAGGTCACACGGTTTTTCCAACTAGTGTGTTTGCTTGTTCGTTCTTTTGACCATTTGCCAAACTGAAAAACACATTTGTTTTGGTTTGGTTACCAGGGTGGCACTCCAGGGTAGCCAGGCATGTTTTAATTGCTCTCCAGGGATAATGGAGATAATGGTCTGTTGACCATTTCCAACTTAGTTACTCTACATTAATAACCTTTGAAAAATAAAGCATACAGTGTACCATCCCATGGGCTCTCATTAGTGTTGACATCATCAAACATTGCATCAGAGGCATTGAGGGAATCCCATTATTCATCACATCTAACGTCCTTTCAGATTTTCTGTCACTGAAGCCAGTAAACAGCGTAACTATCCCTCAAGCACTGTTTCCATACCTGGTGAAGATACACTAGGAATGTCAAGGCAGTGGTGGGCATCAAGGATGCCTGAGGGACCAATAAAAGTACACAAACCTTTCATCCCTCATGACCTATGTGTGTGAATGTCTGTGACCAGTTCTACTGTATTATACAAAACATAATCAAAAGATTACATCACGTGTTCCATAATTATTAGTTTTCTTCTGATCCTTAGTAAATCAGATTGGTACACATCGGTGTACAGAAGTTATTGTTGGATACTTGTTTGTTTACAGGTCTAAGCAATTATTTGATAATCATTTCTAGAGATGAATCTTTCAAAATACAATCCTTGCACATTACTATAAATCATAAAGTTCAAAAGTACTATGCTGAAAACCTCAGAGCTAGTTTGGCTCAATGAGACATTTTTATCAGTATTTGTTTATCTGTGTTTAAAGCCTCTAAGTATCAGAGATTAATGCACAACCAACTGGACTTGTGCATTTGTTTCCTCATTTGCTTTACTAAAGAAAAATCTTAAAAAAAGATAAAATGGGTGTGATATTGTTCTTACTGTCAAAAACGTCCATTAAAACAAGTGAATCGATCCTGATAGCAAGTAGCCTGTTGTCTGTGTTAGTAAGGTTTGATATACTGTTGTCCAAAACTATTATTTTGACACTGCATGTAACAAGTGAAAACTGACACACCGTCATTGCCACGTCCAAAACTGACGCTAGAGGGTGACCTAAAGTGTCACAGTCTGGCGCTCAGGGCCACTGACCAAGCGTCGGTATTTGTCGAGTTGGAAGTGAGACTGTGTTGGTTGTAGCATCAGGTAGACAGCAAACTAAACTCCCTTCATGAATATGTGAGTCAGGATATAATTGTATGGCCTCAAATCTTTAATGAAGTGCATGTAGTCATGAAAAGTGAGTGAAACGAAAGAATAAAAATACAGTACAGCCTCTACTACAGCCATGCTAGCAGCTTTCTGAGGCTGCACTTCATGGACAAAGCGATGGTTTGAGCTAAATACTAACATCACCGAGCTAATATGCTCACAATGACAATGCTAACATGCTGATGTTAAGCAGGTATAACGTTGACCATGTTCATCATGTTATCAGCACAAATTAAAGCTAAAGCTGGTGGGAATGTCATTACGACATGGGACGTCTTCTGGTGTCTTTATAACCTAATGAAGGTCCGTTATGAACATAGACTGTATGTAAGAAGTGGACATAGTCGTTATGCAGTGGTGGGCCGTCAGGGCCCGCAAAGCCTTCTTTGCTGGCCTAAACAGAATCACAACATTATAGCTATTTTATAATATAATAATTTTTCTTAAATACACTACATGTATTATAATTTAGAACAATAGTTTTCCCATTATCTTATTTCAATCAGGAGAGACTTGTTTTGTAATTGAACAATGATTTATTTGAACCTGCAACAAATATGAAAAGTGCAAAGTCTTCGGCGATTGGACTCCATCCTGAAGTTCTATCACCGAGGGTAGGGATACTGAGGTCCAATAGGCCTAATCCCTCCTAGAGTCCAGACACTGGTGGTGGTGGTGAAAGGAGTTGCTGCCATCTGATGATGAATCAGGAGCATGGCTGTGATACTGACTGGAGGTGACTTGGGTGGAGGAGGGTCGCATCTGCTTAATGCTGAAATGACAACTGACAGTAGCAGAGAGGAGAAAACTTTAAAGTTTGACAGCAACGATCTGATTGGCTTAAGGAAACTGTGTGCCGAATCTGGTTGGTTACTTAAAAGTGCACACCCCCAATCAGCTGATAGAGTAATTACAAGGAGAGGAGAGACAGAGATTACGAGTGAGTGTCTTCCTGACTGAACTTGCACTTGAGCTACATTTTCTCATTGCACAGCAACTGTCTTCCTCCGTTGCTCTGCTTCCAGTGCAGCTTGTTTTAAGTAGAGCTTTTATCCAATCAGATTTCACCCCTGTGACTCTAGGTAAGAAGAGAGGCCCGAGGCCTGCAGACTCACAAGTGAATCCCTTTGCAGTTTCAGTGAATGGGGACGATATTGTTGATTGTCATAGTGTTCAACCAATCAGATCTTTAGTTTGACATGTTGGGCGTATTCTTTGAAGTGCCAGAGCCTGCTAGCTGGCCTAGCCATACGTGATTGGTCAGTGGGCTAGCCTGACATGTTGGGCGGTGACAATCCCATAATCTGCTGCCTCTCTCGAGCGGACATTTTCAGCCCTCAAACGTATTAAAACCTATTCAAGAAATACAACTGGGAAGGCTCGACTGTCTTCACTGGCGTCCATGAATCGAGAAGGACTTCTTACTGGAACTAAAACGCACGGATGTACTGAACAACCGTGAGATTAAACTCTTTATTAACTGTGGTAAGTTAAATGCGTTTGTTATTACATCTGCAGTAGCTTTAATTTGCTTGTTGGTATATTATTATTTGTACAACTTGTTTTTATGAAGATTTTTGTTTGGTTTAATATGTGATAGGAACCATTGTTACGTCCAATGTTGCTCTAGGGACATATTTACCGTTGCCGGTGTTGCCAACTTGCCGACTTTCTCGCTAAATCTGGCGACTTTTCAAACCCTCATGGCGAGTTTTTTTTGTCAAAAGCTACTAGCGACAAATCTAGCGACTTTTTCTGGTGTTGTTAGAGACTTTGCTGGTGTTTTGACTGTCGTTAACGAGAAGCGGGTGCTGCCGTGAGCCCCTCCGCCCCGCACCAAAAGCACAAACAGGCGGTAACTCTCACAGAAGCCTCACGCAGCAGTCCCAGCTGCAGTCAGAGCAGAGAGGAGACGCAGTCTCTGCGTATTCTCGGCAGTTAATGTATTTATAGGTGTTGGCTTCATTTTTACACGAAACAAATAATAACCGTACCTGTGTTTCAGCTGCAGGACAGCAGTGAAGGCCCAGGTATAAAGTGCATGGCCCGCCACTGTCGTTATGACATCACCCATTGAGAGTCTTTAATAATAGCAACTATTCATTTTGTACTAAATGTAATAATGTGTAAATAACAAGTGGAACTGAAATTCATTCTCAAGTGAATGAGTTATAAAAATGATTTAGAAAGAAACTATATAACGGCAACAATTACAGATGATGTGTTTATGTGTTTCATAACTGGTTTCAAGCGTTCACTAAGGCCTGTGATGATAGTGTGCAGTTATATACCTTACGCCACCTTATACCACACTTGGAATTTATAGTTTTAATCCAGAATTTGGCCTTTGAAGTGGAATGTTCTGTGTTTTTCATAAAACTAAAAATTGTAGCTGATGCAATTGATTATTCTTCTTTTAAATCTTAACCTGCAGAACTCAGTGGGAGTCAGTGAGTATGTATATCAACAATGGCCAGATATTGTCATTAATCATTTTTTGGGGAAATGTATGTACGCTAAGAGTTATTCATCTACTAAGCAATCTTTATGAGGATCAGCAAACGTTTTTATATCTTCCCCATCTAATCCCCATGCCATTACGAAGTGAGTATCAATAATAATAATAATGGTTGATGTGTTTTGCATACACATCAACATAGATTCCCCATTGAGTGATGACTGCAGTGACATATTCCGTTACAAGATATACAGGCTCTCAGCGGCTCCTGTGAAGCCACAGCGGGTTTACCTGCCGTGCCACACAGAGGACACACAGTCAGCATGAACAACATTTAGGAGTTGGTGATTTGCTTCAGAGTTGGATTTATACAGTACATATAACTGTGACTCTAGCCATTCTGATTTAACGTACTTACTTATTTGCTTGTTATTGATTGTGACTACATGTTTCTTGTTATTTTTAACTCTGTTATCTGGTTTGATTCAGTGCTTTCCAAATAGGTGTCAGTGTCAGTGTCAGGTGTCAGTGTCAGGTAACAAGGAGTTTCAGCTGCATTGTCGACAGGATCCAGCTGTAGAATTCTTTATTAATCACACGATCTCTGCTACTGTCTATGGGCTGAATGGAAAACAGTACTTTTCCTCCGTATTTTAACCTCACCATGTTTGTAAACCTAGGCAACTACCGCTACCTGGCATTTGTGCTGTGTCTCCTGTTGTACGCTTTTATTATCTTAGCTAATCTTGTCATAATAGTGTTGATATCACGAGAGAAAACTTTACATGAGCCCATGTATATTTTTATCATGTGTCTTTCTATTAACTCTCTGTACGGCTCTGCTGGCTTCTTCTTCAGATTTCTGAGAGACCTTCTGTCTGATACTCATTTGATCCCACGCACAGCTTGTTTCGCTCAGATCTATGTCATTTACACCTATGCATCTTACGAGCTCACGCTGTTGGGCATCATGGCCTATGATCGTTACGTTGCTATATGTCAACCTTTAAATTACCACAACAAAATAACATCCAAGATGGTCTCCAAGTTGGTTGCCTTTGCATGGATTTATCCAGGCTTTTCTATTGCAGCCTGTGTTTATCTAGCCTCCAGACTTCCATTGTCTGGTAATAAGATACCGAAGGTTTTCTGTGCCAACTGGCCTGTTGTAAAATTGTCATGCGCCAGTACTGTGATTAATAACCTTGTCGGCATGCTTGTGTCCACAAGCACCGTCTTTCTTCCCCTGGCTTTTGTCATGTATACATATATACGAATAATTCTCACTTGTAGGAAACGCTCTTCAGAGTTCAAGAGCAAAGTCATACAAAACTGTCTGCCGCACATTGTTACATTCGTCAATTACTCCGTTACTGTGTTTTGTGATGTTGCTCTCAGCAGAATTGATCTTGAAGCGCTGAATCCATTTCTAGCAATAATTCTATCACTCGAGTTCGTTGTGATTCCTCCCATTGTGAATCCTCTTGTGTATGGCCTGAAGCTACCAAAAATTTGAAAATGTTTGTTAAATATGTTGTCATGCTCAGAACCTGAGAGAACAAACCACAAAAAATAGGAGTAGTGTGTGCCGTTTCAATAAGTAAGTGGTCTGATCTATACTGAGGTTTTTCATCATCAATTTCAAATCTGCTGCAACAATGATGTGTTTCATCGTAAATTACTTTGTTTTAAATCAATGTGTAGAGATCTGTTTATAATGTTTTATGTTATGTTGTATTCAGTGTTGTAATTAAATCAAATATACGTAAATATTCTTTCTGGCACTCTTGATTGACAGAAAAAGAGTTTGAAAAGTGGTCTTATTGTATGACATAATAGTGTCACCAGGAAAAATGGCATTGTGAACTTTGGAAAATGGACATTTAAAAAAAAAGAAACATGATCTACATTACATAAAAGGTGACCGGAAATAAAGCCACTTATTATGAATAGATACAGGATGAAATAACAGTAAAAAATAATGAGCCTTGAGAGTTTTGGAGTTTTTTAAGGTTTTAGTAGTTAATGGTTATATTGCATTTATTGTATGTTATCATAAATTATTTCAGAAGCTATTTTAAAAATGTTTTAAATATTAAACACACAATCTCGATATATTTTTTCCCATAAGTTTTGAATGAGTAGACTGTGCCACTTTGCATGCAAGTAATACTTTATAGGGATAGGGGAACAAAAGAACGTGTAAATAACTGTGTTCTATCTCTTGACTACCAATCGAAATAGCTGTTTCAAAAAAGTTTGTCAGAACTTTTAAACAACAAATGAGCACTGAACCGGTCTAACTAAGACCCAGATTAACAGGGAATGTTATTGAATGAACTTTTTTTTTTTAATATAACACGTAACTATATCAGTCTTGAGGAGCCTAATTATCTGTTGAACTACTAGAGCAAATCATGACTAAGATGTGAATAATTTTGCTTCTGCCTGCCATGATTGTGGCTGTAACTTGTTGGTTATCTCTTCTTGTCCACAAAGGAAGTTGTTTAAGGGTGACTCTTCTACACCTCATGTGTCACCTCATATGATATTCACATTGTCTGCATTCAGCTGATTCTCTGTATGGTGATTGTTTTTGTTCAACATGTCCAAGAGACAGAATCATATGAACGGACAAGGTGTGAACCACAACGCTGCCTTACATATGTCCTTGACAATGCCACGCTGCGTGTAGTGAGAGAGGTTAACAGTAGAAGGGTCTCTTCCAGTCTACCTATTAGTTTGGGAGAAGTACTCACAATAACATCCCACCAGGCATTTCATGGATGGGGCCTTTACTAGCCACACCATCCCCAAAGCACGCAAACAGCTGTTCAGTGTATCTGATGAGGGCTGTTGAACTCATTTCGTTTCCACATTTATGTTTAAAACATCAATTTGAATAGCTTCCCTGCTCCATCTCTCTATCAGTTTGGGGGTCCTTGGCCTGAAAAACGTTGAAGACCCCTGGTTTATAAAGTATAGAGTTTCACTGTCAACAAGGGCATCATTTCATCTGAGGTATACCTTTCCAAATGACAAAAAAGCTATATGAAACCCTCGCCCTATTTTTAGGCCTCTGCTGGAAAATTGCATACCCATACTAAAGAGAGTGCAGATCTCTAACTACAAGGTCTATTTTAATAATTTTGATGGTATAATACAGGTAAAACTTGTGATACACTTGTTCAGATGTGTAAATATGTTACTGGTTAATAGTGAATGAAGATGAAACACAGCTGAAATTGAAAAGTTTCAGGTTCACCTGAAAAAAAGCATTTGTATTGAAAATATTTATTTGAAATAATGCAGATCCAAGCCTAAAAATACACCACAGTCATAGCACAACATGTTTACAGTCTCCACAAACAAATTTTACTTATATTGAGTGAAGCAGGCCAGCATAAATGAGGTCTGAGTACGGACAGTCAAGCCAAATTCTCATTTTTGGAACCAGCTTGTTGTGCTGCTCTATTCTAATTTTATATACTATATAACTATATTAACTATATATTCACTTTTTATCACTAAGAGTGTTCAATACATCCTAATAAAGCAGTTTGGCATCATTTTGAACCATTTTGAGCTCCCATATCTTTCCTCCATGGAATTTTCTCCTCTCTGTCTGTGTCTCTGTAAGCCTTTGTAAGGCCTGTGATTGGCGGATTTCATCATGTGACACCTTGTTCAATGCGGAAGAGACTCATGAAAGCGGTAGGCGGGTTATTTAGTAGCTTGAGAGACTTTTAGCCACTAAAAATCTCGATTTACGCGGCACAACCTCCATGCATAAAGTCATTGGTCCAGCAGGGAAATGCTGACCATTTCGTCATAGAACCTCCCAGAACCTCCATTTTCTTACAGACAGAGAGTGCAGGGCACGGACTATACCGCTGACACGGATTTCAATGCATTACCTGCGTTTTTCGTCATGAAAATCACCAAAAGGTACGATGTGTTTCAATTTTTTTACTGTGGAGTGGCTTGTTGTTCGTTGGCTTTATATACGTATGTAACTTTTGAATGGTTTGACGGAGAGGAACGAGGAAGGTGTGATTCGACTGGCGATCGAATCCTCGTCCTTTTTCATGTATCCATCTGCCATGATAGCTGCCAGCTTTGTGATGGGAGATGCAAACGGAGTGCATAGGTCGCCAATTTATGGCGAAAAATACGTGATATTGTGGTAAATCTTCTAGATATATTAGTTTGTGTATAATTGTGTTTGCAGTGTGTAAAATGGCTGGTAGGATGATTTTGCCCAGACTTTTTTCGTTAATTCGGTATATAATGTGTGGAGCATTCATTATATTTGTTTATGAAAAGTGCATTCTACGACACGCTAAACGGTCTCGCTCGAACCCCAAATGGGGCTCGGTCGTCACCAGAAGGTCTTAATAAGATCTACCAACTCTGTTTGCTTTGGTTCAGGTAAATGTTTCAACATTACATCCAGATTGGCAAGTAACTCAGAGTTTTTAAGATGTCCTTTCAAAATGACATCATCTGGTGTATAACACTCTTCCTCATATTCCTCGGTCGGATGAAAAGGTGGAGGTGAATGACCAACCGGAACCACTGCAGCAGTAGAGGCAAACCCCGACCCAGGACCTGGCACAAGGGAGCGGGCAAAGTAGGGTTTTAAAAAATTAATGTGGCAGAGCTGCACCGACTTCTTTCGATTAGGGGTCGCGATTAAATAATTTAGGTCAGACACTTTTCGGGTCACTGTATAGGGACCAGAGAACTTAGCCTGGAAAGGAGAGCCAACTAAATGCAAAAGTGCCAGAACTTGATCACCAGAACTAAATTCACAGCATTCTGCACGTCGATCATACGGACTCTTCATTTTATTTTGAACTGCCTGTAGGTTTTCTTTCGCCATTTTATTTGCCTGGTACAGCCGCTGTTTAAAACCATTTACATGATCTATTACGTTTTTTGGAGCCTCCCCAGCTTCCCAGTCCCTGTGTAGGGACGCTAAAGGGCCTCGCACTGTGTGACCAAAGACCAAGTCATTGGGACTAAAACCCAAGCTCTCTTGAGACACCTCCCTGGCTGCTAACATCAGCCAAGGTAACTCCTCCTTCATCGTTTGGTGAAACCTTTCTAGAGCCCCCTGGCTCTGGGCATGGTATGCGCTGGACTGAGAATGTTTAACATTTAACTGGTTCAACACTTCTGCAAACAACTTTGAACTGAAGTTCCCCTGATCAGATTGAATTATTTTTGAGATGTCAAAAATAGACATAAACTGTATCAGCGCCTTTACAACAGACTTCGTGGTAATGTTTCTGAGAGGATATGCAGCTGGATAGCGTGTAGCCTGACATCACTGTGAACACAAAGTTACTACCAGCTTTTGAGCGTGGCAAAGGACCAACACAGTCAATGATCAGATGCTCAAATGGTTGCTCAGCAACTGGAATAGGATACAAAGGAGCAGGCTTTATTGTTTTATTTGGTTTTCCAGTCAACTGACATACATGGCAAGTTTTAATGAAAGCATAAATGTCTCTTTTCAACAGAGGCCAGTAAAAGTGTCGCCTAACTCTATCATAGGTTTTTCTTACGCTAAATTACCTGCAACTCCATCATCAGCAGTCTGAAGTACAGCAAGTCTTACACTAGAGGGCAAAACAATTTGCAAAGTTTCTTCCATCATAAAACCCTCTCCCTGAGGAACCCATTTTCTCACCAACAGGCCATCTTGGAGAAAATAACCATGGGCTGAACTCTCCACCTCATCATCCTGGAGAACTCGGTTGTACAGAGCCTGAAGTGTGGGGTCACGTTTTTGCTCTTTCAGAAGGTCACTGCAAGACACAGGCAAGGGGAAAGCAGGCACAGGAAACAGACATTCTTTTCTTCTCTGAGCGTTCAGAACTGGAATCACCACTGGCTCGGCTCATAGCACGTGTCACTGTACAGGTCGGATGTATAGCAGAAGGTGTTTTGGAGGACTCCGGCTCTTCTACCTGGGAGGATAGAGTATCCACTGACACCTCAGGCCACACCCGATTGCCAGCCAGGTCATTTCCTAAGATGACCTGTACTCCCCCCATAGGCAACGAAGGGCGCACTCCCATGATCACATCACCTTGGACCAGATTTGATACTAGCGTCAAATTATGGTGTGGCGCAGAAAAGACTGTCAAACCCATCCCTCGGACCACAACACTGGAACCAGCATCTATTTTGGAATCTGCGTTGAATTTCTCTCCTGAAACAAATGATTCCAGAGCCCCTGAATCTCTTAATATTTTTACAGGTACTTTTATCTCACTTCCTACCAGTGAAACATAACCATCGGACACAAATGCAGCATAACCAGGGTCAATCTCCTGCTCTCCTCCTCTCTCCTGTTCTTGATCCAAAACTGTAACCTCAGTCACTGACTCTGACGAAGAAGGTTTTGTGTGTGCCTGCACGGCAGCAATGACACGGTCTCTTTCTTCAGCATTGAAAGACACAGCAGCCCCAGATGGTTTTGCTGGTAAAAACCCAGGCTTTAATTTTTCTTTTAACATTGGACACTCATTTCACCAGTGACCCTTGCCAAAACAATAATTACAGACACGATTGGGGTCCATCCTTCCCCGTAAAACCCGGTCTGCTTTAACTGAACTGGTCCCTTCTGACCAAAACTTACTGGAGTTTTCTCCCACATTACTCTCTCGGAAGCCTAAATCTCCACGACCACGGTTCTCACCGAAATATCCTTTATCAGTCAGGACAAACTCATCTGCCAATCTAGTAGCATCTGTAACCTTGCTTATTTTCCTTTCCTGAATGTAGGTAACAACACGGTCAGACTTGAACTGTTCCAGCAAGATTAATTCTTCAAGGTCCTCCATAGCATTTACCTGTGAAGCAGCACACCAGCGACTGGTAGCAACCACTATCAGTAACACTCAAGGCTAAAAAAGCCTCCTGGGCCTTGCCAGTGAGCACACACTGAAGCAAAAGAGTACGCTCAGCATCCGACCAATTTCGACCCTGACATTTTCGAAAATGTCAGGGTCCCTTTCATTAAACTTTGGAACCAACCGTAGGTTAACAGCAACATCAAATGAGGGAAAAACAGGAACAGGTAGTACTGACTCTCCTATCTTGTGTGGATCAGCCTGAAGCTTTCCTTCACTCATAAGCTCCAGCTTATATCGCTCCAACTCTAATTGTTGTCTTACCTGAACATGGGCTAGTTCAGCCTCCCGAAGATGTGCATCTTGTCTTAACTTTTCTAACTCCAAATTATTTTTATGTTCGTCTTGCATTTGTAGCAAGATAAGTTGTTTTTGTTGCTCAAATGTCAAACCAACTCCAAGTCCAGTCAAAACAGGAGCCATTTTGGAAACTTTGACTGACTCACTCACCCTGGGGGAAACTACCTCTGAAAATGTATCAATTTCTACAGGTGCCTTTGCAATCCCCACTATGACAGGCAACACTTTTTCCTCCAACAAGTGATCCTTTAATGTGGCCAACAATTTTTCTTGATTCAACTTTTTAGGAAGTTCAACATTGTAATAGTCCGCTAATGTCAAGAGCTGATCCTTTGTGTAAGAATTTAACAAATCAACATTTGGAGACTGAACAAAGTCTTCAATGGAAGCCATTTTATCAGTTCACCTGCAACCCATTTAGGCACTTTTCCAACAAACCACAATTACAATTAATACAAAGTTTTTCAACCCAAAGCTAACGGATGACAGGCTGCTTTAAATAAGGAACCCAATTCCTCTGACTAACTGCCTAACCAGGTCTAGCTGAGTAACTCATCCCTAGTCTTCATGCAGGTTAGTGGCAGGATAAATTAAGCACAAAACCCAGTAACCCGGTTAACCTTCAGCAAGTTGAAAATCACCTAGACAGTCATGGAAGTGCCCCCGAGCCATTGCTCTAACCACGTACTGCACCAAAACAACAAACAAAAAAAAGAAAAGGGTCAATGAGAGACGGCCAGTGCCCCTCATTGCTTATGCCTATCAGGAAAAGGGTTCCAAATGACTCACAAGCCTGTACTACTAACTGCAGGTCAGAAAACACAATTTGACCAAAAAAATCTGTGTGGAAAACTCCCTTTAACAAAGTTACATTTAACAATTTTCCAGTACTAACCTTTCCAAATCATCCCGGACGAGCTAATCTGAAGCATTTGTTAAGCGTTTGCACTAAGTGCAATTTGCCCCAGAGGGCTTAGTGGGATGACAGGAATGTTTTCACTAATTTGTTACCACCTGGCTCAAGGCCGGCAACAAAAAGGGAGGCCACACAGAGATCTAACACAAAAACAGTTTATTTAGCTGCACAACTTCCGATTGCACAACTGATTAGGCTGGTTCAGCAGGCCCTGCTGAGCGAGAGAGACAATAGACTCCCAGAAGGCTGTCTTTTATTGCCTTCCTGGAGGCTCCAATCAGATCATTGGATGACTGGTGCAGGTAACTCCTCCCACCAGGAAACCCTGAGCAGGAACACAGCCAGCAGAGTGAGAGGGTCGTCACAGTAGGAACAGGGGAAAGCCGAACAAGTACAGAAGTTTGCTGCGGCCCAGCAGGAACAGCTGTCGAGCTTTGTTTAGTCGGCTGGAGCCTCTGACACAGCAACAGGCTTGAGGTCTGCCTTGCAGCTGAGTAGCGGAAACTCCCGGCTGATGGGAAGCTGACACTATGGGTACTCTGGGCCTGCCATGATTGTGGCTATAACTTGCTGGTTATCTCTTCTTGTCTACTAAGAAAGTAGTTTAATGCTGCGTTCACACCAAACGCGGCGCGAATTATTCGCCCGAGTAGATTACATACAAAGTCTATGCACAGACGCGATGAGACCGGCACGGCGCGAATTTGTGAATTCGCGTCCATCGCCAAATCGCCCCAAACGCGTGAGTTGAAATTTTTCAATTTCTGCGAAATATTCGCGTTACGCCCCGGCACGATAGCCTATCAGTGTTGAGTTGCTTCCCCTGTCATCACTGACTTCCTGCCGTTGTTGAATCAGGAAATAAATACTGTAGCCGTCTGTGTTCACCCAGAGCTCTACAATACCTCATATCAATAGAGACCGGACCAAACTATGTGTGTGTAAACCATATGGTACAAACAATGAATAGACGCTGCCGTATTTACGTCTAGATGACGTTAGTCTGAGTGTTGGTGGAGCTGTTGTACAATGTTAGCATAGCCTAGCACCGCTCCATTGAGAAGACAAATAGCCTACAAATCGGCATCATTTCTGCCGGAGAAGACAAGTACAAATCGGCATCATTACGTAGTTATTTCGGAGTCCCTTTTTGTCGGTTTGTTGCCGTTAAATCACAGCCAAATCAGTTTATTTTGTGTTCACACAGCTGTAGTAAACAGCGACCTGTGGCTTGCTAGACACAGTGAATACAGCTCGATAAAATCCACGGAGCTCCTCTGAACAATATTATGAACCCAGACATGACGGCGTTTAGTTTCCCGGGATATCTATGACTTCCACAACACGTACTAAGCAGAAATATAGGTTATTTTTTCCATGGTTAATGGCGGACAGTTGAACGGCTTTCAGGGCGATAAGCCCCGCCCCCTCTCCAGCGCGATTTGCGCGAATGTACACAAATGGTCCCCGGCGAGACCTGCGGCGCGATTGACGCGAATATGTGGCGCGATGAATTCAAGCCGCGTTTGGTGTGAACACGGCATAAGGGTGACTCTTCTACACCTCATGTGTCACCTCTTATGCATATTCTCATTATCTGCCTTGAGCTGATGCTCTGTACGGTGATTGTTTTTGTTCAACATGTCCAAGAGACAGAATCATATGAACGGACCAGGCGTGAACCATAATGCGTTTTTTTCCAGCTGTGAAGATAATAGTTATTCAACTATTATGAATCCCTTGATGAAGTCAGCCGTTTTACTGTTATTTTTTTAGTTTCACCATGGACAAAGAACGTTTTAAGATGACCTCAAAATACTGACAAATTTACAAAGAAATTGACATAATTTGTTTCCCCTTGTAAACTCTGTTTTCAGATGTATTCACCTGGCACAACATTTCTAACATTTAGTGACACTATATCTTGCAAAAATATCTTGCTGGGCCTTGACCTTTTCAGGTTAATGTGACGACTTTTGCCAGAAGTTAATGTGAGCACCTTAGGCATCACTCCAGGGTTGTCTTTTGGAGTCTGCACCAGTGCACGCACGCCTACGGTCTCGCAAGTGAAGCTTTCGCATGAAGCATGCCAAGACAAGAACTAGGGGATCCACTAGGAGAGCCTTTTTTCTTCACTGGGACCATTTCACTTTGCAATTAAGCATGCTAAACAAGCACGTCATTAGCAAGGCCAATGCTCAAGTGAGGGAATAGCATATCTGATAACAAAGCTAAACAAATATCCACTAGCTAAACTCAATGGCAGGAACTGTGGATAGTTAGCCTAAATCGCTAGTAAGGGTTCTGCTGTAGTCAGGTTTCAGAGTGAGTTGTAGATGAATTGAGGAGGAGAGACTGATTTGTTGTATCGAGTGAAAGGGAACAAAAATATAGGCTCGGACTCAGGGTTCAGGTCTCAAATTCTGCAGTATTAGGCGGGTCAGGTCTGAAAGTTGCGGCTACAGTCCAAATTCTTGTCTCGTTTTTTGGCCTATGCAGGACCCTAGTTTGGATACAACAGCAAGCTACACAAAAAGGAGGACGCTATATCTGTCCAAGTGCCTCGCTCTTGCAATAGATTACATACGAGATACATATATGGTCAAAGCTATTGCAAATATGCGTATGATCTTTCTCTTGACTTCCGTTCGAAATAGCTGTTTTCACATAAATGCTACAATCTTCGGAACCCGCCATCCGAACTTCATATGAACTTTATTAATTCTGACTATTTCAACGACAAAAATTAATTCCATTTTCAATGTTCCTTTAGGTTTTATGTATTTTATGCATTGCTCATACAGTAGGTTGCCGCACGCTGAAACAAGGAAGAAACCTTTTTCTAAACGTTGATTGGCTGGTTTGAATTCCCAGCTCATGTGTGACTGCAGAAAGACGAGATATTACTAACAGTAAGATGAGGGAGCAAACACTCCGTTAATGATGGATGTACACAACACAGGGCAAAAAGCAATTTTCTAACCATGATGCATAATTTTTCTCATGTAAGGTTGTTTTTTCTTTCAGGTTTAAGTGAAACAATGAACTACAGAGTTGCTCTCTTCTCTCTCATTTTAATTTCTTACTGTTTCATTGTGCTGGTAAATGTTGCTCTTATTGTCACCATCATTTTGGATAAGAACATGCATGAACCAATGTATATTCTATTGTGCACATTCTGCATGAATGGACTTTATGGGACAACAGGTTTCTACCCCAGGATTCTGTGGGATCTGTTGTCTCCCGTTCATGTGATCTCTTATACTGGATGCCTTGTTCAGGCTTTAGTGATACACTCATTTGTCTGCAGTGATATGTCTATTCTTGCAGTCATGGCATATGACAGATATGTGGCTATATGTCGACCCCTGGTGTACCACTCTATCATGTCGAAGCAAAGAATCTTAATGTTAGTATGTTTCTCCTGGTTAACACCTTTTTGCATTTCTGCGATGAATATTATTCTTACATCTAGATTAAAGCTATGCAGCCCATATATTGCCAAACTTTATTGTATGAATTGGATTATCGTTAAACTTGCTTGTTTCCCCGCTGACACTATTGTTAACAACATAGTTGCATACATTACAATAATCATTTACATATTTCATGGTTTTTTAATAGTTTGGTCCTACGTGTATGTCATCAAAACTTGTGTAAATTCTTTAGAAAACAGAGCCAAGTTCATGCAGACATGTGTGCCACATTTAACCTCCTTGCTCATTTTTCTTGTGGCTATACTGTTTGATGTCTTTAATGAGCGATTTGGTCCAAATCTCCCGCCAACCATTCAAAATGTTATTGCAATAGAACTTTTTATCTTACCTCCCATTATGAATCCTCTTATTTATGGTTTTAAATTGACCAAAATTAGGAACAGAATTCTAGGTATTACTTGTAAAATTCAAAGATAAGGAAACTCAAAGGCATGTAATAATGCACTCATATTATTATTGTATATGATTTTTTGTACTTTGAAATATGAACTTTGCATATGGCGTACTTCTTTTTCCAGATTTACATAATCTGCCTTTCACTAATGCTTTAGGTTAGTTTACAGATTTGATTATTTGTGTGCACCTCCCAGATGATCCTTGTAAATGAAATTGTTTGCTTCAATATCTTTTGTTTTGCATTGAGAGCTTGTCAGTGGCTTTGTCAGTGGCTTTGCTTTTGAGACTGTTCATACACAAAGGGCAAAAGACAGATATGCCAAAGTACAAAGAATGTGAACTTGGATCATAATATTCAGCCTTTGAAACATGACACAGGTGAACTTGCTATCTGGAACAAAAACAAATGTATATGACACGAAGGCCAAAGGCAGAGGAGTAACCTGTACCTTACATGGGCTGCATAATAACATGCAAAGTACATTATCTGCTTTTACCTAATGGTTCAATGTATATTTTTATATTATTTGTGTGCATATCTTATGATCCTTGTACAGGAGATCAATCTATTTGGCCTTAATATCGTTGCACCTTTTAAGCTTTGTTGACTCACTTAAGGCGGTAATTTTTCCATGTTGAAATTGAGGTTGATATTATAAATTTGCATTACTTATTTTCAGCTAATTAAAAGGAGCAACTAATTTTATTGTCTACTTTACAAAATATATATACAAGCATATAATTACATTATATATTTTATGTAGATTATTTACCATAACTCCCACATGCTTTAAAAATCTTTTCATGTACATTTGACATTTTCAAAAACGGTTCTGTTACACGCCTTGCTTGCGTTAGTGAGACCTTGTTAAATTCAACTTTCATTAATCTCAGAAGGTTTGTGTGACTTAATTGTGCCATGTGTACAACTCGATACAGATATCACAACATTGACAGTGACACCTTTCTCTTCATTTCCTTCACATAAAAATGCAATAATAGAATTTGTTTTCGTCGAAAAATGTTTGCCAAAATTAGGCTTACTGCGATGGCCTAGGAGGCATCAATCATAGGCTTATCGGCAAAATATGTCTTACCTGTTTGAAATACGTTTTTGTTTGTCATATTCACTTGCTGCCATGTTAATTTTGTCTTTGTCAAATATAGATAACAATTAAAGCTTTAAGCAGCATTGATCAGACCCTTGCACCTTTGTTTTGTGCACATCGAGGGTACTGGCTGGACTCTGGTTGATGCGGCCATGCATTTGTGTGACCATCAGACACTGCTTCCACGAGTTAGACGTTATTGCCTGCGTGGACCAGTGATGTAGCCAGGTCTTTTTGCCAGGTCTTAAGCCTTGAATGTTTTGAGTGGAGCTCTGAATACAATCATAAATGTAAGCCTTTAAAGATCAACAAAAAACAGAATGTATGTGAATGTGCTTTAGTGTTTGTCACATAACAGACTGTCATGTAAATGCAGGTCTCAAAACCGACTGTTTATTCTGAAACTGTATTTTGACGTTGCGAACTGTTTCCGCTTCCGGTTGCGCTAATCGTAAGGCAAGGCAAGTTTATTTGTATAGCACATTTCAACAACAATTTAATTCAAAGTGCTTCACATAAAACCATTAAAAGCATCAAAACATAAGGCAAAAGTAAAGGAGATTTAAAAACAATTAAGAACATTCATTGAAACATTAAAAACAGTCATAAAAACAATAGAAAGCAGTGTAAGAAATAAAATACAGTAGTAAAAAGCAGAAATTGATTAATATCCTTGAATCTGGTTCAATTAAAGGCAGCAGCAAACAGAAAAGTCTTCAATCTTGATTTAAAGGAGCTGAGGGTCTCAGCAGACCTGCAGCTTTCTGGGACTTTGTTTCAGATATGTGGAGCAGAAAAACTGAACGCTGTTTCTCCATGTTTAGTTCTGACTCTGGGAACAGAAAGTAGACCAGTCCCAGACGACCTAAGGGGTCGGGATGGTTCATAAGGTAGCAGCAGATCAGAAATGTATTTTGGCTCTAAACCATTTAGTGCTTTATAAACCAACAGCAGGATTTTAAAGTCAATTCTTTGTTGGACAGGAGGCCAGTGCAAAGACCTCAGAACTGGAGTGATGTGATCCACTTTCTTGGTCTTAGTGAGGACTCGAGCTGCAGCGTTCTGAATCAGCTGCACCTTTCTGATTGACTTTTTACAGAGACCTGTAAACACACCGTTACAGTAGTCGTGTCTACTGAAGATAAATGCATGGACAAGTTTTTCCAAATCCTGTTGAGACATAAGTCCTCTAATCTTTGATATATTCTTCAGGTGATAGTAGGCTGATTTTGTAATTGTCTTGATATGGCTGTTCAGGTTGAGGTCTGAATCCATAACTACACCTAGATTTGCTTAGTTTGTGGTTTTTAACATCAGTGATTGAAGCTGAGCGCTGACTTTCAATCGTTCGTCCTTGGTACCAAAAACAATTACCTCTGTTTTATCTTTGTTTAATTGAAGAACATTCTGGCACATCCAGTTGTTGATTTGTTCAATGCATTTATCCAGCCCTTGTATGGGATTATAGTCCCCTGGTGATATAGTTATGTAGATGTGTGTGTCGTCTGCATAATTATAACACACGTTGTTGTTTTCCATAATCTGAGCTAGTGGAAGCATGTAGATGTTGAACAGAAGAGGCCCCAGTATTGAACCCTGTGGAACACCACATGTCATTTTAGTCAGCTCTGATGTGTAATTAGCTACAGACAAAGTATTCTCTGTCCTTCAAGTAGGATTCAAACCAGTTAAGTGCTGTGCCAGAGAGTCCCACCCAGATTTTTAGTCTTTCTAGTAGTATGTTATCGTCGACTGTGTCAAATGCAGCACTGAGATCCAGTGATACTAAGACTGAACTTCTGCCATTGTCTGTGTTTAAGTGGATGTCATTGAAAACCTTAACAAGAGCAGTTTCAGTACTGTGGTGCTGTCGAAAGCCTGACTGGAAGACATCAAAACTGTTATTTACAGCCAAGAAGTTGTTCAGCTGTTGAAAAAACGCTTTTTCAATTATTTTACTTAAAAATGGGAGGTTTGATATTGGCCTATAATTTTTCATTATTGCGGAGTCTAAATTAGCCTTCTTTAGGAGTGGTTTAATAACTGCAGTTTTTAGGGCTTGTGGGAAGACACCTGAGAGAAGAGATGTGTTTACGATTTGTAAAAGATCAGTGGTCATGCAGTTTGAAATATTTTTGAAAAAGCGTGTTGGTAGAATATCCAAGCAGCAGGAGGATGACTTCAGATAATATATAATGTCTTCTAGGCTTCTACGGTCGATTGAATGAAATTGTGTCATATTTGAATGGATGTTATTCAGAGATGGGGACAACACATATCCTGTGGTTGGTGTGGAGGCACTGACTGCTTGTCTAATTTTCTGAATTTTCTCAGTAAAAAAGGAGGCAAATTGATTGCATGCCCAGGTGGATTGGAGCTCAGCAGCTACTAACACTGGAGGGTTTGTTAGCCTGTCGACGGTAGCAAATAAGGCACGTGTATTGTTATTGTTTTTGGTTATGATGTCACAGAAGAAGGACTGCCTTGCATTTCTAAGTTCCAATTTATAATTGCGAAGTGTCTCTATAAAGAGAGACTTCGACATTTATTTTTCGCCACCTGCGTTCAGCTTTCCGACACTCTCTTTTCTCTATTCTGACCAGCGTAGCATTTCTCCAAGGAGATCTTTGCTTACCCGAGACAACCTTCACTTTAGTGGGTGCAATGGCATCAATAACATTTTTAACTTTAGAATTGAAGCTATCTACAAGCTCATTGACTGAGATGCAAGAGAGGGCTGGTGTGGAGGAGAACTTCTGAATAAATCGTAGATCCTACGTGAATCGTAGATCCTACGTAGGACCAACAGTACAGTCAGATCGAGTCATTGATGATGTAAGTCATAGAACTGTAACTTTGGGCCTATGTGGCGTAACTGTTCCGTTTATAGTTTTACTTATGTTCTTAAGTGCATTTACTGTCAGTAAGTGTTTGTCATGTAATTAGCCGTTCAAATAATAGTCCAAAGTTGAGCTAAGTGGCTAACCTGGCTAGCGAGCCTGTATTCCTGTGAATGTATGTGTATTTGCTTTAGTTAAGGGTTTACTATTGCTAATACTTCGGTTATGTAATTCGTTTTCTGTGTATATTTCAGAAACTCATTCAACATCGTTCAACATCTGTAAAAATCTTTCACCAAACTATAACACTGTATGCCAGACTGAATACAGTAACGTATGGAACAAACAGATGTCTGCGTGTTCTCTGACCGGAACCCTGTAGTGGTCAATAATCATCTTTACCCCAGTCTCTCAGGGGTCGAATCCCCAACAGTACTATTAATGAAAACTCCACGTACAACCGCGATTTGAAAACTATTGTTATTCAGTTTTTGCTCTCCAAACATCTGATTTTGCACATATTTAGATCAAAGAAGTCTTTTGTTCTGGCTTGCCCACAAATCCCTTTAATAAATTAAGTGTTTGGAGCGCTGTATTCATAGAATCCTGCTTACGGCCATGGTTGCCAGTAGGTGGTGCTATGATTATAAGTTAATATTGGCATGCAGAAGCCCTCAAAGCATGACTTTTATCAAGCATGTCCAGTTTGGGACAGTTTTGACAAAGTACAGTTAAATTACTACAGCTTGATGGCGAACCATGTGAAACGCCATTCCATGAAACCTCAAGCTTTTGATAACTTTTAATCACCAAGGTCTTTGGATTGTACTGGCCAAATTTGAAGTTGATCAGATAAATTCCCCAGGAGGAGTTTGTTAAAGTACAGCGCCTGGAAATGACAAAAGAAACATGAGAAATTCACACAAAATTAAAAATGGCCGACTTCAGGTTGGTCTTGGAGCATGGACCCATGTGACTTTCTTTTAAGTACATGTGATACATGTACTTACCAAATTTGGTATGACCAGGTGAAACGTACAGCGAGGGCTGCATCGATGAAATTGGTAGTGGG